GAGTTAGAAATTTGATGTGTAAGACTTGGATTTCACTTGGGACCTGCTTTAGTGCTCTTTAGTAATGTTGGCAGCAACCCATGGTTGCTGGAATCTGATCACTTTTGTAAGATCATCTGTGGAGATGGAATAGCATCTGACTTTGTCACATGAGAGTCTGAGTTCTTGGTGACAGTTGGGAAACATAGTATTCTGTAACACAGGTAGCAAGTGGGAACTCCAGCAACCTTCAGCCGCTGTCTGCCTCTTTTATGATTAAGGCTTAAATACTGAATCTGCTCACTCCTCTCCAGAGCCTCTATTCCAGGTGAACTTTGATTTCCTGGTTTGACTTCCCCACTAGACCAAATGCCATGAAAGAGAGGACCACCTGCCTAGTTACTGTGTCCTCCCCATGCCTGTGCCGCCAAGTGGCTCATGGTTAGGTGCTCAGTAGATGGTCGTCAAGTGGTTTTAAACAGAAGTATAAGGAATGTCGACATCAATCTACCACCTATTTAGTGAACCTACAGATCAGTTAATAACTCAGATTTTGGGAAGCCTTCTTAGGAAAATGAAAGATTAGAGGCAGTCTATAAAATAGGAACCCTATTAACTCAGAGAATTTGGGGGGAAAAGAATAAAGTTCTAACGTGAAGTAATTTGCAAATGTTGGAGTTAGGGGAAGTATTAGGTTATAACATATAAACACGTGAAGTAATCCACAAATATCTATCATCAAGGTTTTATCATCTCTCTTGCTTGGCTAATTGCAAGCTCCACCCCACCTCCACCCCCTAAAATTACGTCTGTATACATAAAGGCTCCTAGCTAGTAGGGCCAACCCAAAAGGGCTGGTGGCAAGATCAACCACTCCAGCCAATGGTCCCATCTTAAACTTTCTGCCTCTTAAATATAAGAGTGTTCATACCTTTCCCCTACCCCGCCCCCCCCCCAAGCAGTTTTAAAATACAAAGTAGTCAAAGGATCCCCAAGCAAACATTAAGCCATTTTTTTTTTGGCATAATCTCTATCCTTAATCTCATGGCACCCAGGAGGCATGCTCTTGCTGAATTTGAGCCCACAAATAACCAGCAGGCCCAAGCTTTCCTAGGACGCATCACATGAAGGAAAAAGGATGCTAACATTACAGTATCACCTGCCCTCTCATTTAGTTCCTGCAGCATGGCTAGTTTATCTAACTAGGTGGCATCAACCACACTTAGAGTTTTTATTGCTAAGCCAACAGAACAGCTTAGCAAGGAGACACCGATTCACATTGGAAAATACACAGTGAAATCATCAAACAAGATTCTGCTAGAGCTATGTCACACTCTGTCTGAAAGCTTTTAAAAGCTATCAGTCTTCAAATTTGCTAGCTAAAAATTCTTTAGGTGGGCACAAAAATTTGTTCCTGGACCACTTCTATTCAACAGGTACATCTCATCCATCACTTTTGCAGAAGGTATCTTTGGACCTTTGGTCTTGGAAGTAGTCTCCTTGTACCCTAAGTACTGTCTTGAGATTAACTTACAGTAGAAGGGAACATACTAAGCACTTTGAGTCTATCAACTAGCCATCTGGAGAGCAGCCGGCCCTGATTGGCTCTCCTAAGGCAGCTACATTTATCATCAATGTCACTGCAGACCTTATCATAACCCTTGGAGGCATTTGATTTCTCATAGGCTGGTATGAGAAGGTGGCTTTCCAAAGAACAGTCAGTATCCAAAGTAAATTTAACTATGACTTAAAGTCAAGTAGGTAACTGCCTATACTTGATTACTTTTCCTTCTACCAAAAAAGCCAGCTTCATTCACACTCTGTAAGAAATAGAAAACGGTCTATTTTTTTTTTTAACACGAGTTGTCTGTACATCTATGCTGTGCTCTGAGTTTTCTGGTCTTTGGGTCAAAACCCAAAGCCGTGTGGCTGGGAGCTGCCTGTTTCCTTGCTTATGGCCATGTTCTACTCTGGGAGCTCTTGTGAAGTCTCACCAGTTTGATACTTCTGGAATAGAAGGGGCTTGTAACCACTTTTTGTCACTTCTAAAATGGTAGTAAAACTGCTCAAGTGAAATCAAATTTATCGTTATTCAATTTTATGAAAGGCAAACACTTCAATCAGGACTTCACTTCTTTTAAGCATGGAGACTGCCATAATTACCTTGCTAGCAAGGCTTACTGCTTAAATATGCAGTCGATCATGGTAAAGTCTTAATATTTGGCTGCTGTACTGAACTTGGCCTTTACACATGCATTAGGAATGTGGGGACACCAGCAGTAAAAGCAGAGAATCAAAACAACACAGGACGGACATTATAGCTAAATGTCACATGTAGCAAGCAACAGGCCAATTGCTCAGACTTCAGGAAGCTGTCACTTGCCTGGTGATCCTTGTTTAAAGAGTCCAGGCTCACATGCTCTTTCTTTGGCCTAAACGGGGATCAGGATCACTGCCATACTTTCCCTTGGTGCTATGGGGTGGGTCAAGTTTATTTTCTCCTTGTCCTCCTGTCTCCTATCCCTCCAGGTCTCACTTTACAAACCTACTCCCATAGTAAGAGAAGTCTCTGTCTACTCTTTTGCTAGGTGCTAGCCATCTCTGAAGAGCCCTCATAAAACCTTGGTTTTTCTAGGCTCTGGCTTTAATGATGATGTGTGGTACCCCACATCCTAAGCCTGACTACCTAGGCTGATGGAAAACGTACTAGAATTCCCAGGGACTTGCAGTCAGGTATACTCACTACTGAGTTTTAGCTTCTGTAGTTAGACCGATCTAAGTTTCTGGACGGGATCTTAGAGCATCCCTGCCCGGTCCTATTTTAGACCAGCACCAAGAGCATGTTTGGGGGAGGAGAGGTTGGGAAGAAGGGATGCACACAAAACCAGGGCCAGAAAGTCAGCCCATATACCCTGGGGCTTTGAACTTCAGACAAAAGCCAGTCTGGGTTGGCGTAAGGTCACTACCTCTTCAGCCAACCCCAGAGTCTGTTCAGTTGAAAAATGATGTGCCTCCTTTCCTTGGAAGAATTTAAGTCTTTCCTGGGCTCTTCATGGCATGTCACATATTTCACATGTGACGTAGAGCAAAAGGGACCCTCACCTACCTAATACCAGGTGAACATATGGCTTCAACTAACTCATTTCATGAGCTCAAGGGCATTCCCAGCACTCTATAGGATAAAGTTGGCCTCCAACGGAAAGTTACTACCTGTTAAACTAAAAGAACAGGGAGGAGGAGGAGGAGGACATACAGCAAAAACAAAATCTCTCCCCCCACCTCCAGGGCGGTTATCCGTAGTTTCTGGTACAGCTTAGTCTCTTGAAGTGTTATGAAAAGTATCATGCAAGTCATGGAACGATCCTGAGAAATCATTTAATAAGTTAGTATTGCTCATCCATTAATGATTAATGTTCCAGTCTGAAAATTCTTGCGGGCCAGGCTCCCCCAGGCTCTTAGGTTGGTTGTCACAGCTCAGAGGCTCTCTCCAGGCCTCGCCTTCTTCGAGGAGTCCAGGCTGGGGAGAGCACGGGAGGGGACAGCGCGAAGGAGGCTGTGGGGCGCCTCGCGTTCCCCTACAGACACTACTGCTCGGGCTGCTATAGTCTGAGTTCGCGGAGCCATGTGACCAGCCCAAACGTGATCGGGCGGCCAGCCAATCGCAGAGGGCAGGGAAGCCCGTGCCAGCTTCACACGCTCGCTCGGGACGGCCGGAGCCCAAGGGCCGGGGGCAGGGGCAGGCTGCGAACCCCCTGGTACCCCCGCCGGGAGGCCGCCGGACCGCACACTTGGAAGTTGGCTGGCTTCAGGACACACGTGACTGCGGGCGGGCGGCCGGAGCTCGGACTCCGGAGGGGTACTTGGGGCGGGCCGCTCCCCCCCCACCCCCGGGACCCGCCAGCCCCTCCGCGTGCTGTCAAGCTCACACCGGGGACGCGCCGGCACTCTGGCCCGAGCCCCAGAAGGGCTGCCCGTCCTTGCCCGGGAAAGTTGCGCGTCTCCAGCCGGGAGGCTGGCTGAGGGCAGGGCTCCGGGGCCCAGGGCGGCAGACCCCGGGCACGACCGTGGTCGCCGCCGCCACCCACCGGCCCTCGCGCTGCTCCCTTTGATCTATTGTCTGGAATGAAGGCTAATTACACAGCCACTAGATTAGGACTCCATTCCTCTCGAGGAAATCTCACCGGGAACAGAAGATCAGCAAACTAACCTGATTAAGTCTTGGTTCCGCTCCCTTCCCCCCTCCCCGCCCCCCCCCCGCTCAGCTCCACGGGAGACCCGAGAGGTTTACAAACACGGCGCGAGGGGGGCGGGGAGGGGCAAGGCAGGAGGGGAGGAACACCCCGTGGGGAGTCCTACTGGAAGCCGCCCTCGTCCTCTGACCCGCACGCCAGGAGACCACCGGGCGCCCGGGAGGTCGCAGTCCGGGTGCGCAGGCTGCGCACTTGTAGTGGCTCCCTGGAGCCTCCCGGCTGCCGCCCATCGAACGTGAGCCCGCTCACCGCCGCCGGGACCTGGGACCTGCGCCCCGCGCCCCCGGAGGCGCCCGCCGTCGCCCGCCCCCCGCCCCCCGCCGGTCCCAGGAGCGCGGCCCCGGCTCCCGCGCACCGCCCGGCCCGACCCGGCCCTCTGCCTCCTTCCTAACACTCCGCCCGGCAGCGCAGACAGAACCATTGTTCGGTGCGCGGAAGCCCACATGCCCCAGCCCCGGCCGAGCGGGGTGAAAACGAGGCAAAGCAGTGGCTTCGGGGGACAGAGTGAAGGGAAGGACGCCGAGTTCAGACGAGGCTTCAGGACACCCCCAATCCCACTGTCCCCCAAGCCCGGCTCCCCGTGGCCGCGGCGCTGACAGTCTGCTCAGAGGCGCCACCAGGGTTGGGAGGGAAAGACGGCGAGCGGAGCGCAGAGGCGCCTCCTAGGAGGTGGGGAGGTGGGGGGGGGGCGCAAAGGAGACCCGCGCCTCGGGGCCCGCTGGCGCCCCGGCGGGGTCCGGGCGGCCGGCGGAGGGGCGCGTCCTCACTCACCCGCTCCGGTGGCGCGGCTCTCCCGGGGCGCCCAGCACAGCGCGAGCAGCAGCCAGAGCGCCCAGCGCGCGGACGTGCCCATGGTGCCCGCCTGGATGGTGCCGCCGCCGCCGCCGCCGCCGCCGCTCGCTCCGCACAACAAGTTACCAGCCCTTCGCAAAGGAGGAAGGAGGTGGGGGCGGGGAGGGGGGAGGGGGAGAGGAGGGGGAAGGAGTTAGAAAGGGGGAAAGGGAGCAGGGAAGAAGAGGGCACCCCCTCCCCTACAACTTGCACAATCTCCTCCCCACCAGCCAACCCACCCACCCACCCACCCACCTCCCCGGGCTGCAGCAGCGGTGCAAGCCGAGCCTGCGGGCAGAAGATAATGCAGGCGCTGCAGAGGAGGGGAGGGTACGGGAGGGGAGGGGAGGGGAGGGGAGGGGAGGGGAGGGAGGGGGTGGGGAGCCGAGAGCAGAAGACGGCAGAAGGGAGCGGAGCCGGCCGCGGAGCACCCACACTGGCGACTGCCGGGTGAGCAGCGAGGAGGGGGCAGGAGGGGGAGTGGTCAGCGAGGGGCGTGGGGGGAGCGGCGGCTCCAGCCCGCGGTCCCCTCGACGCGCTGCTCTCATAAGCTCTGGGCAGCCAGGTGCCCGCGCAGGGGGTGTGCGAGTGTGTGTGTGTGCGTGCGTGCGTGAGTGGCCGTGGCCGCGGCCGTGGCCGCCGCTGCCGCCGCCGCCGCCGCCACCACCAGCACCCGGACTGCTCCTGGGGCCCGGCTGCTCCGCGCGTCCGCCCGGGGCTCACGGGGGCCCGGGGCGGCCGCTGGTTGGCTCGCGCGCCGCCCTCGCCTCCAATCCCCGGTGCCTGCCCTAATTTCCTGATCTAGGGAACCTGCCGCCGCAGCAGCTGTGCGCTCCCTACTGTCATTGCCGTACCCTCCCGGCAGGGCAGCCGCCGACCGTAAATGCAGCCGCAGCAGTTAGCGCTGATGCAACTATTGCTGCTGTTGCCACCACCAGCCCGCTAACTGGGCCCGGCGGCCCCGGGGGCACCTGCGGCTTCCAAAGGCGGCAAGAGCCTCCCTCTCCCTGCCTCCCTCTCCCGCGCCCCAAAGAGAGGCTGGCAGTGTAAGGCTGGTATGGTAGGTAGCGTCTGCCGCGGGCCTCCTCCCTGCACCCGCAAGTGATGGAGTGGGACGGGCTCGACACGTTTGGGCTGCTCTGAGGTGGGGTTCGGGGTGCCTGTCTCAATCGCACGCCGAGATGCCATTTTCGCTAAAAATTAAATGTTTTTAAATGAGTGTGTGTGTGTGTGTGTGTGTGTGTGTGTGCGCGCGCGCGCGTGCTCACGAGCGCGTGCGTTTGTGGTTGGTTCTCTGTAATGGAACGGGACTAAAATAACCCAGCCTGGGAGGAGGGAAACTGCTAGGGCAGCCCTGCATTCTCTCATCAACGATTATAGTTAATTGCTAATTGCACAGAATGATAGTTTGAGGGCCTGTAATTAAAAGCTTAACCTTTTCTTGTTTGGGAGAAGGGGGAACCTAGGTTTATTCTTCTTGGTACACTTTGTAACATCCCAATTATAAGACTAAAGAGGAAAGGAAGTAAGGCAAGATTCCTATTAAGGATTGATTCTTGTTTTGTGCCTGGCAGCACATGAGCCTATAATTTGTTTTGTACGTGTGTTTGCTTCAGGTTTCTTGCACACTTGCCCCTGGCTGACGTGCATCGTCTGCTGTGGTCTGTTAAGCATTTAACAAGAGTTGGAGGGCACACCAAGCTATTTCTCCTTCTTAAATGAAAGGGTTTACGTATGTTTTTTTAAGTTATTTTTTTCTTTTTTCTGAAGGTATTTTTTTTTACCCAATGACCCAAACTTCACAGGTTTCGATAGGACCACATTCTAGCCGTGTTCTCTTGGTGATCTGAGAAGTGGTGGGCGTTGCTTAGCTATATTCTCTTTGCCCTGGTTCTTCTAGGTGTTTGTCAAGGCTAGCCATCGGATGGGATCTTTATTAGGAACTTACTGTATCCAGGAGATGGCAGGAAAAGGAAGATTGCAGATCAGGATACAGTTTGGTGGGGCCAGGGGATCTCGTGACTGATAAATATTAAGGAGCTTAATTCTGTATTGGTGGAGTGTTGCACTATAACTAATTTTGATTGCTGTTTTGCCTACTCTGTGGTTAAACATTTGATGCAAACTGCAGCAGCCATACACATGTTGCGTGTGAAATTGAATTCAAATTTGTCTTATACCATTTAGTAGCGAAAATGCATGCAGGTGTTGCTCACCTAATGGGCATTAAGGTGTGATGGTAAAACCTTTGGGGTGCATCATCCTCAATATTCTCAGAGTTCTGAAAGACCATCTGAAAATGAGCTGTGTCACTTCACAGGTGAGGAAAGGTGGTAGAAGGATGAGTGGAATCAATATTAAAAAGCATGACATTAATAAACAGTCAATGTGGCTTGTTTTTAATATTTTTTCTCAGACATAAATGCATAGGTGTTCCAAGCTAAACACTGTTATGGTAATACACTTATACTTGACAAACATGCATGCTTTCTGCCTCTCCAAGGGATATAAATAATCTGTTGGTGAACTTAGCTGAGGCTCTGTGTTTAGTCTTGTAGCTTTATTGTTGAATTGATAGGAAGCATAATATTTAATTGTAGCTCTGATTGGCTGTGGAACTTAGGAAAATCACTGGGCCTCTCTGTGCCTGCCTCCTGACCTATAAACTGAAAACTAATCCACATCAAGTCAGCACGCTCTGTGGCCTCAGGGACCAGCTCTCTGCAAAGCATTGATTGAAGAAAACAGTTGTAAGAGGAAATGAACTTAATACAGAAAATAACCGAATAACCAAAATGAGAAATTTATCTGAGTGGAGATGGGTGTGGTTGAACTAACTGGTCTCAGAAAGGTTGACACTGCTAGATTCAGAAGCCTTCAGGTAAATTCAGAGGCAACCATTGACTCCCACAGTCCATTGCATTTATATATTGGTTGAGGCAACACACATTGAGCATCCCCGGGAGGTAGACACTGTGCCAAGCAGTGGGCATAGGGAGATGCCTATCCGAGGAAGCTCAGGATCTGGATGGGGAGGCAGAGAAATAGCAGTTACAGTACTCAAGGGACAGCCAAGGGGATGCTCAAGGTGCCATAAGACTGTAGGGGAAGAGCAACTACTCTGGCTGTGGAACAAGGGTGCCAGAAAAGGCTTTCCAGGGCAATTGATGCTGACCTGAGTAGAGTCATTGTTTTGGCCAAGTACTTCTTCTTCTTCTTCTTTTTTTTTAAAGATTTTATTTATTCATTCATGAGAGACACAGAGAGAGGCAGAGACACAGGCAGAGGGAGAAGCAGGCTCCTCGCGGGGAGCCCGATACAGGACCCGATCCCAGGACCCAGGGATCACGACCTAAGCCAAAGGCAGACGCTCAACCACTGAGCCACCCAGGCACCCTGACCAAGTAATTCTAATTCTTATTCCTGCTGGGCACATGGTAGGGTTGCACTTTCTGCCCCCCTTATGATTAGATGGGACTGAAGGACAAATTTTGGACAATTATTCGTAAGAAGTCACAGGGTGCTACTTGAAGAATGGAACATTTAATTACTTGCATTAAGACCCTTGCTTTTTGTCTGCTGTCTAATAACAAAAAATGTGCAAGATCTGACTGCTTCATGAACCCAGTGTGAATGACCACATGAGTATTTCTCTGCTGTCTACATCTCTCTGGCAATGGTCATGTAGAATAGAGATCAGCAAATGGTTGGTGGCATGTTTTTTGGATGGCCTGGGAATATAAGAATGGTTTTTACATTTTTAAAAAGATTGTACAAAAAAATCCACCCTCCCCCCCCCAAAAAAAAACCAAATTAACAAAACAAAGAAGGAAAATCTGGAACAGAAACTGTATATTGCTCACAAAGCCTAAGATATTTACTACCTGGGTCTTTTTTTTTTTTTTTTACCTGGGTCTTTGGAGAGAAAACTTGCAGCATCTTTATGTGGAGTAAGTATAAAAGAAACCTGTGTTGTGTTCATCTACTGGGATTTTGTTACCTCATCATTACCCAGCATTACTTGGCTGATGTGCTGAGTGAACAGGGAAGGAAGACCAGGGTGAGCAGAGGAAACAGAGGCAAAAGACTATCAGGTACTCAAGGATATGCAAGCGACACAAGATGTCAAGGGTGGGTTTCAAATGGGCTAATGGTAGAGAAGAAGCCTAAGGAGGAGAGGTTGGGACTGGATTATGTGAAGACTTATATGTCATGGTAACACCTGGCCTCCATCCTGCAGGCCATGGCGAGGATGGGTGATGGACCTTTGTGTTTGTTTGCTTTTGTAATTTTTAAAAAGTTATTAAGTTATGTGATTCACAAAGTAGTAACTCTAAAATACAGAGAACAAGCCTTTTAAAAAGCATACTCTGAATACCCAGCGACACTGACATATTCTATTTCTTTACTTTAAAAAATGTACTTAATTTTATCCTCAGGGGACAGAATTGTATTGACATAACTATAATTGGTACAGTTATGGCACTCTTTATTTGCTAATTTACTTCTGTAAATAAAAAAATATATCCACGAGCCCACTGCTGTCTCCATGTAATAGAATATTGGCAGTAACACCTAGCTGAGTCCTTCCATGTGAACACCTCTAGCTCTCTTCATTGGAGGAAACCACTGTTGAATGGATGAGTTTCGATTGGAGCCCTTATACCCAGTGCATTCTAGAACATCCACTCTGGCAGTGGCATGAAGAATGTCGTAGCTGGGAAGCAGGTAAGTGGAGAAGAAGAACAATTCGGGGCCCTAGTAGTGAGGAGAACACATGAATAAGAGGAAGAAACTATTATTTGCACTCAGAAATGTTCATATAATTCCTTCATGAGATTTTTCTCCCTAGCCCTTTGGATGTATCTCTTAGAACAGTGTTTTCTCAACATGTATAATCCACAAGGATCCCTGGCGGTATCTGCTGAAAGTGCGGGTTCCCAGCTCCTCCCTTGGTGATCCTTGCTTGGTGGGTCTAGGATCTGTTCCAAGTGGCTGTGCGTGATCTTACTCCAGCTGATTCTTAGGATGAGCCACGATTAAGAAACTTTCTCAGAGAATGCCTTCTTTGATGCAGTTTGAATGGCCAAGTAGCTTCCTTTTTTCAATATGCATACACATATTTGTCCAATTTCTCCAGGGTGAGTGGGGTGGGACCCACAGAAAATGCAGACCCTACTGTTGGGTGTTTTCTTGTCTTCAAGCCCTGAACGCTAGCTAACTGGTATGGGCAGCAGGAATAATCTTCAGACCAGTTGCTAGTTTGAAGCTCTGATCACTACATTTTCTACCCCATATCCATGCCACAGGAAGAAGTGAAATGATCTTTCCCCTTTTAAAGGATTTTGTTAACTTCTGAGGCCTCTGCTGTATCCTTTTCTGATTATGTGACAGCCCAGTGGAGTGCATGGGATTCACCCCACGCCAGGCTCTGGGCATAGGCCTGATGATGTAAGCCAGGGGGTCACAAATTTTAGCCTCCATCAGAACCATCTGCAAGCCTTATTAAAACATGGATTACTGGTCCCCAGCCCAGAGTTCCCGATTCAGCAAGTCTGGGATGGGGCCTGAAAAAAATCTGTATTTATAACAAGTCCTCAGGTGATTCTGATGCCAGTAGTCAGGGGACACACTTTGAGAAATACTGTTCAAAACCCATCAGGATAACTTACCTCCC